TTGGTTTGGGATGTGGCTGATGCCAGGGTTATCATTCCTTTCTGGTGGACTCCAGGGGAGATTAAATAAAGTCACAGAAAACAAATTGGTCGAAGTTTACTAAATATACAGAAACAACAACTGTCTCAAGAAGCCCCTGATGCAGATGGTTGATATGAGGAAAGTGTCATTTTAGAATTGAGCATTGCACAGATTGTGCTCTCTTGCTCTTGCCTGGACAATTGCTTTTGGTCAGGGCCACAGACAGAATGTGAGCACAAACTGCATTATAGATGGTTTTTGATGACTCCTTTTGACACAAATCATCTTTCTCTTCCCTAATATTGGAAAAAGCCCACAGCAATCTGAGATGGTTAGTAAAACAGACCCTACTGTCCATCTCTGGTACAGTCAGGAGAAATATTAAGTATAGGAGAAGGTGGCCACATTTGGCCAGACAAATCCTCTTGGATCTGGGCAGAGCAGCCCACAGAGTTGGGTCCACGTGGGCACATGCCTATGCAGAAAGACAAGCATCCTTCATGGCTCCGGAGCAAGCACAGTGCTCAGAGGCAGCAGGGAATGAGCTGGTAATAAGACATCTTCCTTTCCATATGAGCCAGTGGCAACCAGAGAAGTCTTAGAGGTAGAATTTCTTGGATTCAGAAGTGGCCACTCTCTGGGACAGTTTGTCTGAGTCTCTTGGGGGGAGGAAACATGTTGGGCTCAGCTACGGAGGAGCCACGGAGGGAGATCAAGCACAATGCAGTTCATCTGCCCACAGACTGGGAAGATGAAGTCGTATGGACAGGTGGTTTTGGCCAGGGCAGCGCTGCCCTCGAGGAGACTTTCACAATAAAAATGAGATTGTATTGGGTTTTTAACGCAGCATGGAGGCTGGGGAGCACCAGATGTGCACCAATGCCCTAATAACCCACAAAGGCAAAGGGGAGGCAGAATGCCGCCATTGTCCTATGTGAGGGGTGAGGTTCAAGGGATACCTGAGCAAGGAAAATGCTCTTCTGAGGGAGGAACCAGGCAGGGCAAGGGAGATACCTGAGCTTATCCAGGAGAGACTAAAAAGAGGATGGAGAACAAACAGCCGAGCAGTGCGAGAAGCAGCAGAGACTTTGCAGCATGCAACCATGCCAAGAAGCCTGTGAGACAAAGGTGGATCTCAGGAGTGGTCAGGACAGGCCACGCCAGAGAAGCAGCAGCTGGCTTGTCTGGGTCTTGCCGCAGGGACCCCTCACGCCCCACGCTGCAGGAGCCGAGGGGGAAGAGCCGAGCGCTGGACCCGTCTGAGAAATACGGAGCAACAAGTCCCCGAGGCCGGTGGAGGCGCACTCGGGGAGCGGCCGCAGCGCACAAAGG